TCCCTATATTTATTGTGATTTTATAATTGTTTGATATATTTGATGTTATGTTTATGCTATGATATTAGATATGATGTGATACAAGTTATGTTATGTTATATAATATGCCATGTAATGATTGCGTTATGTTATCGATGTTGTATGAGATATGAAACTCCATATACCATGTTAGGTAAGATATGTAATACGTTTTCCCATATTGCCTATGAGCCATGTTTTTTCCATATTGCCCGTGAGACATTAGAAAACCATGTCTCATAGGACGTTAGTGTTATGTAGCCATGTCTCATAGGATGTTACAGTCATAAAAAAAATGGAGGTATAACTTGCATCGACGTATATGTCATGAATTGATACTATGGGACCTCATGCATATTATGTGCTATATGCATCAGGATACTTCCCCCATTATGATGAGTGCGAAGACGTACATTAAGATATCTATATTTCGCCATCATATTATGTGGGCTCCTTTACCTCTGTGGTTCTAGCAATGTGAGTGTGTGTTAGCTGAAGGACAAACTCAGGGAATATGTATACGCCTACCTGGAGGGACCATGCGCACGAGTGTGGGTTGTATGTAGAGGAGTAGTACACATCTAATTTTTGCTTGAACTGAAAAGTAGAGTTCAAGACCATGAAATATTTTTATGAAAAGATAGATCCCACCAACAATGAGGCTACTTATTGAGTACTTTTAAATACTCAAGCCACGTGCTACTTTCTTTTTTCAAGTAAAGGTAAGGCAACCCGGTATGGATGATGACATTGCTAGAGAGATCATGGATCCAAAGCTAGGATTGTTGCATTTACATTCACATTGTAGTTCTTAGGTCAGATCAAGACGTTTTTGATAATTTTCATGGATTGTTTCCTTTATTTGAAATGGATTTTTAGAACGTTTAAGTCCATAGCATCATTTTGAATTTTTTTTAAATAAATGTTTCCATGCATATTAGACATGTCGTGCATGTAGTGGCAACCTTGTCTTTAATTAGAAAATAGGGTGTTACAAAGCCGCAATATTTTCTAACGACTCTAGCTCGGCTTCTAAGAATCTTTGCTACGATTTTCAATTCTTCTTTAGGCATTTTTGACACTTTGGGAGGGGTTCTAAGGTTAGTATAGCTACTTTTTAGCTTATTTAAATTGTTTGGAGCCAAGTTTAGATTATTTTATGCAAATTAGGATAGCCAATTTTTATGGTAGAATTTCTAAGTTATGATTGTGGGACTCCTTAGGTAGAATTAGATTTCGAGGAATAGCCTTGAGCTAGCATCAAGGAAGCATAGTGACTTTGGCTTAGACCGACCAAGTAAGTAGCTTCATTGTTGGCTTGGTTGGATGACTTGTTTGTTTTATGAACTATGTTAGTGAAAGAGAGATTGATTGAATGATTGATGAGATAATTGAATTTTGAAGAGCAAGAATGCTCTATATATACATATATATATATATACACAGAGAATAGAAAGAGATATCTAGAAAATCTACCTAGAAATCAGAAAATTTGGTAACAAACCAGTAAACAAATCAAAACAAAATCTAATCAAATCAAGAGTAAATCAAATAAAAAACAAATCGACTCCTAACCATCAGAAGATTTAATCAAATACAGGAATCTAAACACGTAGTCTTTAACACTCCTCCTGGTTTAAATGCTACAAACTCCAAGTTTTTTTTCTGAAATCTTCAAACTTGCTAAGTGGCAGAGGTTTGGTAAGGACATCTACAATTTGATCTTCAGATTTGCAATAGCAAAGAGTCACATCACCGCTCTTTTGAACTTCTCGAACAAAGAATAACTTGATGTTGAAATGCTTAGTCTTTCCATGAAAAACTGGATTATTGGAGATTGCAATAAATAATAGCTTGGTTATCAACTAGTATCTTAGTGCTGTGTTTTTGCTCCAAGTTTAGATCCACGAGAATTTTCCTTAACCAGAGAGCTTGATTTACTGTGGCTGTTGCAGCTATCAATTCTGCCTCAGCAGTGGATTGAGCTATAGTTTCTTGCTTTCTTGAGCACCAAGAGAACATGCCTGATCCGAGGCAAAAACAGTAACCAGATGTACTCTTCATGTCATCGATTGAGCCACCCCAATCACTGTCAGAGAAACCAATTAGCTTCATTTCCTTGTGCTTTAAGAACTTCACTCCATAATTCCAGGTCCCCTTGATGTATCTGATAACTCTCTTTGCAGCTTTCATGTGAGTCTCATTGGGACAATGCATAAATCTGGAGAGAATGCATTTACGATCAGGTCTGGTTGTTGTTAAGTACGTCAGGCACCCTATCAAGCTCCGGAACTCAGCTTCAATAACTTTGGCAGAACCATCATCTTTGACCAGCTTCTCCTTTTGATTCATAGGAGTATTCATTGCTTTGCAATCCTCCATATGAAATTTTTTTAGTATCTCCTTTACATACTTTCTTTGACGAATGAACACTTCATCTTGGGTTTGCTTGATCTCAATGCCAAGGAAATATGACATCAAACCAAGATCTGTCATTTCGAAGATCTTTTTCATTTCCAGTTTCAACTTGTTAATTTGCTTAGGATTGCTTCCTGTAATTAACAAGTCATCTACATAAAGAGAAATGACTAAAGTATTTGTACCTTCATGCTTGACATACAGTGTGAGTTCAGATTGACTTTTCTGAAAGCCAAGACCAACCAAATGATCATCAATTTTACTGTACCATGCTCGCGGAGCCTGTTTAAGACCGTATAAAGCCCTTCTCAGCAAGTAGACTTTATCTTCATTGCCTCTACTCACAAAACCTTCAGGTTGCTCGACAAAAATTTCTTCTTGCAAGACTCCATTTAAGAATGCAGATTTAAAATCTAACTGGAATACTTTCCAACTCTTTTGAGCAGCAAGAGCAAGCAACAATCTTACTGTATCAAGCCTGGCAACAGGTGCAAATGTTTCTGAATAGTCAACTCCAAAAACTTGTGCATATCCCTTCACAACAAGTCTTGCTTTGTATTTGTTAACTGAACCACAGGATTTAGTTTTGTTCTGAATACCCATCTTACTCCAATTATCTTTCTGTTTAGAGGTCGATCAACCAACTTCCATGTTTTATTTTTCTCGATCATCGAAAGCTCCTCCTGCATTGCAGCCATCCAATGTTGGCTGTTTTTTGCATCATGGAACCCTACAGGCTCACAAATAGCTACATTACACCTTTGATAAATATCAGACAGTAACCTTGTACCTCTCACAGGTGCATCATCAACTAAATCATCTTGTTGTTCATCTTCAGACTCTTCTTGTCGTTCATCTTCAGATTCTTCTAACATGTTACCAAAGGTTAAATTGTTTGGTGCATTAGAAATCTGATTCACCTTTGTCAGTTCTTCCCAATTCCATTGCTCATTTTCAGCAAAATGAACATCTCAGCTCATAATAACCCGACTAGTGTGCGGTTGAAAAACGCTGTAAGCTTTGGATATAGTGCTATACCCAACAAATATGCCAACTTCTGCCTTTTTGTCAAGCTTATCACGCTTGACCTGTGGAATGTAAGTGAAGCAAAGACACCCAAATACTTTAAGGAACTTTAAAGAAGGTTTGTAACCATACCAAGCTTCAAATGGTGTCAGGTCCTTCACAGCTCTTGTTGAAATTCAATTTTGCAAGTACACAGCAGTGTTTGCTACTTCTCCCTAAAAACGTTTTGGAAGATCCTTCTCATGAAGCATGCATCTCGTCATCTCCATTATGAATCTATTCCACCTTTCACTGACGCCATTCTGTTGAGGAGTGTATGGTGCTGTCAACTGATGTCCAATTCCAGCCTCTTCACAAAACCTGTTAAAAGTTTCTGAAATGTACTCCTTGCCATTATCTGATCTTATAGTCTGAATCAAGCATGCACTTTCATTCTCGACTCTGGCCTTGAATTTCCAAAATACACCTGCAATCTCTGACTTTTGCTTCATAAAGAAGATCCAACACATTCTTGTTAGATCATCAATAAAAATAATGTAATAAAGATTACCATTTAATGATGGTGTTCGCTGAGGACCACAAAGATCAGTATGAACCAGCTGCAGTTTTTTCGAGGCTCTCCATGCCTGTTTAGGAAAGGGTTGCCTATGTTGCTTCCCAAAATTACAAGCACGGCAAGGAGGCATGTCATCATTAATGTCAGCGAGTTCTTCTACCGGCTTCTTTGACTGCATCTGAAGCAAACCTCAATGATGAAAGTGCCCAAGTCTTTTGTGCCAAATCTCAGTGACACTAGCTTTGGATATAAAGGCCATCTGCTCTTTCATTTTGACATTGAACAAGTCTTTGCCACTAGCATCTTTGATCAAACACTGCTTATTCTCAAACAACACTTTATAGTCTTTATCAAGTAACTGACCAACACTTAAGAGATTTTGATCAATTTTAGGTACAAATAAAACATCTGAAATAAATTTTGTACCTCCATAACCTGTTATAGCTACTGTGCCTTTTCCTTTGACTTCCAAGTGTTCTCCGTTCCCAATCCTCACTCTCTTGACTTAAATGTCTCTTAATTCCTTAAAAAACTCCTTGACATATGTCATATGATTTGTGCACCCACTGTCAATCAACTAACTCTCACTTGATTCTTTGCCTGTGAAACAAGTAGCCACAAACAATTGATCTTCTTCTTCCTCTTTTTGATCAACTAACTGTGCATCTACTTCTTTCACTTGATCTTTGGCTTTGCAGATCACAGCTTCATGTCCAAGTTGATTGCATTTGGAGCAGAAGACATCAGGTCTTCTCCAACACTTGTATGGTGGATGACCTTTCTTCTCACAATGGCGGCAAGGTGGATAGGATTTTTTGAAACCTCCTCCTTTTTTCTTCTGATAATTTGCAGATGGATTTCCATATGTCGATTGATTTTTGAAAATTTTCTTGTTTTTATACCTGCTGTTGTCTTGATGCTTAACAAGTAAGGCATCTTCAATCACCCCTTCTTGCCTCATAGACCTCCTTTGCTCTTGTGCTTATAAAGCATTCAAGAGCTTTGTAAGAGAGATCTTTGACAAGTCTTTGGTGTTCTCCAGAGTAGTAATGGTGGCTTCAAACTTCTCTGGAACGGTGACTAGCAGCTTTTCAACGATCCTTGAATCATTTAAAACATAACCAAGCAATCTCACCTTGTTGGCAATGCTGAGAATTCTGTCAGAGTACTCTTTCACCGACTCCAACTCCTTCATCTTCTGCAACTCGAAATCCCTAATCAAATTTAGGGCTTTCATTCCACGAATCTTCTCATCTCCTTCATATTCGGCCTTGAGATAATCCCAAATTTTCTTTGCTGTTTTGAGGGACATTATCCGGATGAAGATCATTTGAGATACAGCGGCAAATAGGCAAGCTTTCGCCTTTGATTTCCTTGTCTTTTTTTCCTTCCGTAATTTGATTTGTGCTACAGTAGGATTTGCTGGGAGCGGAGGGACTTCGTAATCCTCTTCTATTGCTTCCCAAAGATCCAAGGCCTCCAAATAAGTTTCCGTACGAACTACCCACATTTGATAATTATCTCCATCGAAGATTGGTGGTGCAACAGCGGAAAAACTGGATTCTCCTTCCATCTTGATCTCACAGATCCCTTAAGAAGATAGCTCTGATACCAATTGTTAGTGAAAGAGGGATTGATTGAATGAGTGAAAGAGGGATTGATTGAATGATTGATGAGATAATTGAATTTTGAAGAGCAAGAATGCTCTATATATACACAGAGAATAGAAAGAGATATCTAGAAAATCTCCCTAGAAATCATAAAATCTAGTAACAAACCAGTAAACAAATCAAAACAAAATCTAGTCAAATCAGGAGTAAATCAAATAAAAAACAAATCAACTCCTAACTATGAGAAGATTTAATCAAATACAGGAATCTAAACACGTAATCTTTAACAAACTACATGTGCCTGTGGCCCCTACACATATTGTGTTTTATGATTGTATGATGCTATGTTATGTATATGTTATGAAATATGTTAGGTTGTGTACAAGTTATGTTATGAAATCAGATATTCAATGCTAGGAATATGATATGACATGGAACTATGTCATGTTATCGATGTTATTTGATGCATGAATCTCCATGTACTGCACCATGTAAACTATGCTAATATGTATGCCCTTTGCTTATGAGACATTATAAAATAATGTATTGCTAATTATAAATAATAGGACAAGAATCAAGAATGAATGTCTTATAGGAATGTCATGAATATATGTCATGTTTTAATGTTATAGGATCTCATACATTTTGTATGACATGTGCAACGGGATACTTCCCCGTTATATTTAATACGGACACATACCTTACGATATCTATGTTCATCATCATATTATGCGGGTCCTTTTCCTCTGTGGCATTCGACAATGTGAGTGTGTGCTAGCCTGGGAAGCAAGCCGAAGGAGGTACGTATACGAGCCCTTCTGGTGGATCTATGTGTGTGTATCGACCGTGTACAAGAAACCATTACACATTCAACCCTGCTCAGACTAGAAAGTAGAGCTCACGGCCATGCATTGATATTTTTTTTGAAAAGATAGGTCCTGACGTAATTGATTGTGTTTGCATTTTCTAACCCAACAATGAGACTACATACTGAGTATTTTCAAATACTCAAACCCTATGTTATTTATTTTTATGTAAGGGTAAGACACTCATGTATAGATGATGATGACGTTTATGTTAAGGCCAAAGAACTGAAACTACGTTAGTTGCATTTATGTTTAAATTGTAGTCTTTAAGTTATATCCAAGTTTTGTATTCTTTTATTTTAATTCATGTTATCGATTTTTTCTGCTATGTTGTTGATAACAATATTGTTTTAAATGAATTTATTAAGAACATTTAAGTTTATGACATCATTTATAAAATATTTTTTATATACCTTTCTGCACATAAGAGGCATGTCATGCATGTAGTGACGTTTCTATTTTATTAGAAAAAATAGGTTCATTACATAGTTGAACTTTAAACTAAAAGATTTGGTGAACGTGGAGGTTATTACACCTACAAAGACTCATGTCAATGACTACGTGTATGCTGAGGAGAGGTTTCAAGTAACTTTACCAAAATGTGGAGATAAATCTCCGAAGTAGCTTTTATATACTTACGAAAAACAATAAATGGATTAAAAAAAATGGGTCAGTCGGAAGTCGAAAATGTCGTGGGATTTTCAAATCAGAGACAAAAGTTCTAATTATGCTTAGATCAAAATAGCTTTAGTTCCAAAATATTAAGAATTATCGACGGGGTAGAAATATTATGGGCCAATTAAAGTCATTGAGAAAGCGGAAAAGATGTCATACAAGATACAAGTTCAATTGTTTTAATGGATGTAGACTAACTTTGTTGTCCATGTAAGTAACTTGAAACCCTACAATTTCGTTCACCAAGATACCAGGCATAATGAAGTGACATGACTTCCTACCACAATGAAAAATTCTATTGAGAAGAACGTAGAAGAGATCTTGGTTGAGAAGACATAGTGCATAGAAAACTTGAGAGAAAATGTACAAGAATTCCTTTTAAACTAGACTATATGATGTTGTGTTTTGTTAGAAATGCATCGAAATGCCTGAAGTCAGCTGCAATCCACGTTTATGTTTTTGTGCAATGTCGTTTGACTGTAACGTCAATAAATTAATAGGAAAATATGTCACGGTTATGATTATCTAGAATATGTTGCCTCTCGTTATATGCCTATTCCAAACCTTTTGACCATGCTATGTATCGTAGTAGATCACTCGTAAGTAGATCACTATTTGTAATGTCCAAGTTGGAAAAGAATTTAGGAAAAAATAAAAGATGATGATCAAGGAAAAGGAACTGAAATGATGACTTGCCGTTTCAAAGTTTTGAACAAACGAAAGGAGGCTTGCTTATGGTAGTATTGTGTGCTTACCAAGGTGGCAAAGATGAACTTATTGTGGTGTTACGAATCAGAGTCCATTTTGAGCATAAGCTCTCATAGCTTTACTTTTGGTTTCTCCAAAAGACCCCATACCAATAGAGATAGTATTCTTTCCTTATAAACCCATGATTAACCCTTTAATTAGCCGATTTAGGACTCCTCTCCCAAGAATTCTCAACAATCCTCCCCTTAAATAAAGTACACCAAAGAGACTTACTCCTCTCCCAAGAATTCTCAACAATCCTCCCCTTAAATAAAGTACACCAAAGAGACTTCCTTGAGGCCTATGCAGCCCTTGAATATCCTCCCCTTAATCGAGCCTCGATTCCTTCTGTGGAGCTCTTGAATAAAGTACACTCTTTGTTCGACACTTGAGTCACTTTTGACTACACCTGAGAGGTTCACAACTTCTTTGTTTTGACATTTGAGGATTCTATTGACATGGTTAAGTTAAGGGCATGATTCTAATACCATGTTAGGAATTACGAATCTCCATAATGGTATGATATTGTCCACTTTGAGCATAATCTCTCATGATTTTGCTTTTAGTTTTCCCAAAAGGCCTCGTACCAATGGAGATAGTATTTATTACTTATAAATTTATAATCAACCTCTTAATTAGCCAATGTGGGACTCTTCTCCCAACAATTCTCAGCTAATCTTTGAAAGATCTTTAGCGTTGGCTTCGAGAATAGATGAGAGGTCAACTAATGTTCCTTCAAAGAAAGGCAACCAGCAAGTTTACTGCAAATTGTTAGTTCTCCTTCAAAGCCAGAGTGACCTCTTAAGAGGAAACGGGAGGAGTTGCTTAGGAGAAGAAAAGAAAAGGGAAGTTTCTTAACCCAGAGTACTTGATTCCATGCCCAACTGCAGTCATGGATTTGCCATTCTCTACGCCATGCTATCCATAATGCTGCAAGGTACCATGAATGAGTTTCCACTATCCATAAAGCTGCAAGGTACCATGAATGAGTTTCGTTGATGGAAACGATCATGTTGAAGCTAACATCTAGTTCCACGTAAGGGATAAAACCTGTGAGATCCCACATCAGTTAACGAAGAGAACGAAACATTCTTTATAAGGGTGTGGAAACCTCTCCCTCTCAGACGCGTTTTAAAAACATTGAAGTGAAGCCCAAAAGAAAAAGTCCAAAGAAGACAAAATCTGCTAGCAGTGAACTTAAGCCGTTACAAATGGTATCAAAGCCATACACGGGGCGATGTGCCGACAAGGAGGCTGAGCCCCGAAGGGGAATGGACACGAGGTAGTATGCCAGTAAAGACGCTGGATCCCGACGGGGGTGGATGGTGTGAAATCACAACCTGGAAGAATGAGTACAAGGATCATGAGAAAATTTGAGAGTTTGTAGTGTAGAAGTAATATAAGTACGAATGTACGACCTTTGAGAGCTTTGATGTAAATTGGAGCTTATAGAAGCATGATTGACGAGGTTTTAAATATGTTTGAACAGGTAAGTAGTCACGTTGGGTTCTCTTTAAGTATTACTGATTAGAATCATCATCGATTACTCTAAAACTTCAAATATTCATTTTACGATAGAATTGAGCATGTTTTTTAGACAAGAATCATGTAAACAAGAACCCAAGAAGAATGATCGGCCCCATTAAGATAAAATCAACCTTGAGCATGTTTTATATATTATGGAATAGCTAGTTACTTCCATTTGGCACGTTATTTATGCATATGATATTATGTTATTGTGCATTATGTTCAACTTAAGCCTAACGAAGCATGAGTACAAACCCCTTAAAAGAAAATTAGGGCATGTTCATTTAAATGAACTCCTGTCTCCATGGATATAATTTTGCTAGCTTGTTAGCTCGTGATATGAAATTATGCTCAAATTAAGTACTTTACAAGATGTTCTCCATAGAATAATACTGTATAGCATGTGTTAGCCTCAGTTAAGACATGTTGAGGACCTCACGAATGTCGTACAAGTTAAGCTAACTACCACCCACTCCACGAGCACCTGTGAGTAGGCCAAAAATTCTTATGCCTTGTTAGTTCAGTGGTTAGAGACAATGCTCCTTTTCTATTTTTTCAGTTTTTTATGGGATCTATGGAGAGTTAGCCAATTAACCTTAGTAGTGAATTTATTTAGAAGGTAGACGTCTACATATATACTGATGGATAGACCTAAGTTAGTTTGGATAGGATTTTGCCTTGAGTTTAGAACTCAATGAATTTCGAGTGTGTCAATATCATATGTAGAATAAAATTGGGGCCTTCCAACAAGGTTTCTATTTCATACCAACCCTCGTGACGAGTTTAGAAACCACATAGGTATCTAGTAGATAGCTAACACGAGGATCAAACTCTCCTAGACCTTAGCATGACATTATGGTCCTACTTAAGATTTTCCATCTAATCATTTGTAAATGAAAATATGGTACGATCGACTTAAGAAACCGTAATGTCCCTTCATTCCTTCAATGTTGTTGGAACCAGGACGAGGTCATGTCTTGTCATGAACCACAACTTCAGTATAAGTATAAGAGCATGGCCAAGTTAGTATACCTTAGAATCCATCTTGAGACCGATGGTGCATATACCCTAGGAGATGAGTCACACCTTCGAATGGGATGCGTGTCGAAATCGATGTCATAATCAAATTGGAAAAGAAAATCTTTGAT